GGGTACATCGTACATATGCCAATAGTGGGTGTAGTGGTCCATGAGCCTAAAACATATGGGTACATCGTACATATGCCAACAGTGGGTGTGGTGGCCCATGATCCTCAAACATGTGGGTACATTGTACATATGCCAACCGTGGGTGTAGTGACCCACGAGCCTCAAACATATGGGTACATTGTACATATGCCAACAGTGGGTGTCGTGGCCCATGAGCCTCAAACATGTGGGTACATCGTACATATGCCAACAGTGGGTGTCCTGGCCCATGAGCCTCAAACATGTGGGTACATCGTACATATGCCAACAGTTGGTGTCGTGGCCAATGAGCCTCAAACATACGGGTACATCGTACATATGCCAACAGTGGGTGTCGTGGCCCATGAGCCTCAAACATACGGGTACATCGTACATATGCCAACAGTGGGTGTAGTGGTCCAGGAGCCTCAAACATATGGGTACATCGTACATATGCCAACAGTGGGTGTAGTGGTCTGGGAGCCTCAAACATACGGTTACATCGTACATATGCCAACAGTGGGTGTAGTGGCCCATGATCCTCAAACATACGGGTACATCGTACATATGCCAACAGTGGGTGTCGTGGTCCATGAGCCTCAAACATATGGGTACATCGTACATATGCCAACAGTGGGTGTAGTGGTCTGGGAGCCTCAAACATACGGGTACATCGTACATATGCCAACAGTGGGTGTTGTGGCCCATGATCCTCAAACATACGGGTACATCGTACATATGCCAATAGTGGGTGTATTGACCCAGGAGCCTCAAACATAAGGGTACATTGTACATATGCCAACAGTTGGTGTCATGGCCCAGGAGCCTCAAACATATGGGTACATCGTACATATGCCAACAGTTGGTGTCATGGCCCAGGAGCCTCAAACATGTGGGTACATCGTACATATGCCAACAGTGGGTGTAGTGGTCCATGAGCCTCTAACATACGGGTACATCGTACATATGCCAACAGTGGGTGTAGCGGTCCATGAGCCTCTAACATACGGGTACATCGTACATATGCCAACAGGGGGTGTTGTGGACCATGAACCTCAAACATTTAGGTACATCGTACATATGCCAACAGTGGGTGTTGTGGCCCATGATCCTCAAACATATGGGTACATCGTACATATGCCAACAGTGGGTGTTGTGGCCCATGATCCTCAAACATATGGGTACATCGTACATATGCCAACAGTGGGTGTTGTGGACCATGAGCCTCAAACATATTGGTACATCGTACATATGCCAACAGTGGGTGTATTGACCCATGAGCCTCAAATATATGGGTACATCGTACATATGCCAACAGTGGGTGTAATGTTCGACACACCTACAAAAGTACAGATATGTACATCTTTCATATCCAAACAATCAGGACAGGATGTATTGGTACATCTTACGAAAGGTCTTTGATTGGCATTAAGAAGAGAGCTATTTTTTCATGTGGGCTCCAGTGTCTCAAAACCAAATAACCATGTGTATAGTGTAACAGTTTATTTCTCAACATGTCAAAATTGGTTATATATTCACACAAATATACACAAGTAACGTAGCAGATATACATAACAGTGTCACTCCAGCAGTTTGTTATATACAAATATCACAACTGTTTTGATTATCAAGTATCTATCCATTATCCTCAGTAAGATTACATGCAATACATTAACCAAGCACAGCACTGAAGCATCATCGTCACATGCACTTAAATGAAGGATGGACAGATTCATAATGCAAGGATACACAAAATAACACAGATAAAAAAATCAAAATCTTAAGTTCCCAGACAATGTCTTTTGAAAATATTGTGTCGAGATTTTTTTTTAATGGAAATGCATTAGTGACACATTCTAAAACAATATCTACATAGATGATGGTAACATAGACTTAATTCATATATATCATAATCATGAGTATCATTATAATACACAGTAATATTGTTTGATAGGAGATGAATATATTGTTTGATAGGCATTACTTAGAAGTTGATGGATGACAAGGTAGACACAATTTTATGGATTACAACTTCTTTGATACTGTAAAAACGATGTTTTGGTATAGATCCTTATACCGTTGTCACGCAAGACTGAATGAGGGACATTGTACAGAATATATATAGTGGGTGGAGGATTAACAGTAGAGAATTAACAGTAACAACAATTGCATACATGAGTGGGATAACATAGGTAAGTGTTGACAACAGAAGGATAACTTACTCATGTATGCAATTGTATAAGGATCTATACCAAAACGTCGCTTTTAACAGTGTTAAAGACGTTGTTAGCCATAAAATTGTGTCTACCTAGTAGATGAATATGCCATCATATTCGTCGATGTTAGTATAGTATCATCTACGTAGATAAAAGTATGGTCTGTACATGTAGATGTAAGTATGGTCTACATAGATGTAAGTATCATCTATGGGCAAAATGGTCTAAAATTTTGATGTGACCACCAGTCTTAAAATCTGATCTTTCACTAGATTCAATACCTCAAGATCTGACAAACCCTTCATTGGAGGCCATGTCAGGTGAACTTTCTGGTCAGCCAATCTGAGAGGTAAAGCATTCAGTACAGCTTTTTGATTTCTGTATCTTGAAACGAATGAAAATGGACAGTTCTGAATGGAGAATAATAAAGGCTGCAATATGCTGTGGATATTTTCTGATCACCAGGGCATTTGCATTCAAAAGTGTGTTCTATGGAGTGAACATTTGTGTAAATTGTTGGTTTTCAAGAAATGAAGTCAACTTGTTTCAGAAAGCTGACATTTGACCCCAGATTTCTTTCATTCCGATTGGGCCGTCACAGTTTGTTTTGGATTCACCTGATGGGACCCTTTATGGGGTTAGACGGATCTTGCCAGTATGTAACCAAAGCTACTGTCCGTTATTTTACAGCAATATTCAAGCTATATGGACCAGTAAAATCCAGTGATAGACATCATGAACATCAATCCATGGGGGTATGTGTTGACATACAATAAACCGAGTCACCAAGCTCTGTCACCACTTATGACAAGCACAGGTTGATGGAGACCTATATTCTCTCCTGGAATCTCTACATCGAATTGTGTGTGTGTGTAGAGGGGGGGGAGGCGCACGGGTGGCCCAGTCGTCTAAGGCGCCGCAATTCGATGTGCAGAGTAGCATCCCTTGGACATGCCAGAAACCTATGATTGTGGGTTCACTGTTTGCCCCTATTATGTTCCTAGGTTTGTCAGCACTATACCCGTGCTCGTGGGTTTTACCGTACTTGTAAACGTCTAAGACTTGCATCACTTCAGGCTTTCCTCCCAGCTGACATGCCTTGATATAACTGGAATACTGTTAAAAGTGGCGTTAAACCCAACTCACTCACTCACTCACTACATCGAATTGGAGTAAAAGGTCTGAAGAAATGAGATTGTTTTAATTTGTTTGCTGTTTAGCGCTGCACTCCAATATTCCAGCTATAAGACAGTGGTCTGTAAGTAGTCAAGTCTTGACCAGACAGTCCAGTGATTGATATCATGAGCATCAATCTAGGCAACTGGGAATGAGATTGGTATGAAGCTCTTGGTGCTGTTGTACAAAGTGATCTTAGCGGTAAGGCGATCGTAACTCCCATACCTTAACATAGACCTAAGACAGCCGTAGCGCTGCAAATTGTGATACAATAACAGGTCAGCTCATGTCTCAACTGTGTTCACAGAGAGCTTCCACAGGATTAGATAACACACAGAGGTAGTTGATAAATACTGACAGTCTTGTTTGATCTAAAATAATATTTGAATTATCATGATTACATAAAATCATATATGGAAATGCATTAGGATGTAGTTTCTTGACATATATTGATGATTAACTACTATTAAATAAATATTGGCAGTTTATATATAGAACCTTTGACTATGGAAAATCATTAGTTTTATGCTAAACATTCAAATCATACATTATTTGGTTGTTGAATGGTTAATCCTAGTTTATATGAATAATGTGATGAAATGATGCATATGACTAACAATACATTATGAGGTAATAAATAGGATGAGTGTGGAAGTAGATACCTAATAAATGATCCTTGTTGACTATTTGACATTGCCTCAGGAAGATGACAATTTGAGTGATGTGAGTCATCTTGTAAGTTTCATTCTCCTTACTTTTAAATGGTAAGTATTAAATGAAATGCAATGGTAGTGATGGAGAGAAATCTTTCAATATATCAAATACATCTGGTTTGTGACGAAGCTGTTTCTGTTTTAATCTATGTCCAGCACACTTCACAGCACAATAAATAGGCACACCATATATAGTTGTGGATATAACAAAATATCCAAGTTTGTTATGTTGAATAAATATGTTGTCAACTTTTGTTTAACATAGCAATGTGTATATTCATTCAATCAGTCAGTCATAAGAATCAGATATACCATGTCAGCAGCCCATCCCACCCTTGCCCCAACCCATCTTCCTTGTCCTACTTCTCACTTTCTCTTACCTCACTTCATCTTCCTATGCCCCACTTTATCTTCCCATGTCCCACTTCATCTTCCTATGCCCCACTTCATCTTCCCATGCCCCACTTCATCTTCCCATGCCCCACTTTATCTTCCCATGCCCCACTTCATCTTCCCATGCCCCACTTTATCTTCCCATGCCCCACTTCATCCTCCCATGTCCCACTTTATCTTCCTATGCCCCACTTCATCTTCCCATGCCCCACTTCATCTTCCTATGCCCCACTTCATCTTCCTATGCCTCACTTCATCTTCCCATGCCCCACTTCATCTTCCCATGCCCCACTTTATCCTCCCATGTCCCACTTTATCTTCCCATGCCCCACTTTATCCTCCCATGTCCCACTTTATCTTCCTATGCCCCACTTTATCTTCCTATGCCCCACTTCATCTTCCCATGCCCCACTTCATCTTCCCATTCCCCACTTCATCCTCCTATGTCCCACTTTATCTTCCCATGCCCCACTTTATCTTCCCATGCCCCACTTCATCCTCCTATGTCCCACTTTATCTTCCTATGCCCCACTTCATCTTCCCATGCCCCACTTCATCTTCCTATGCCCCACTTCATCTTCCTATGCCTCACTTCATCTTCCCATGCCCCACTTCATCCTCCCATGTCCCACTTCATCTTCCCATGCCCCACTTCATCTTCCCATGCCCCACTTCATCCTCCCATGTCCCACTTCATCCTCCCATGTCCCACTTTATCCTCCCATTTCCCACTTCATCCTCCCATGTCCCACTTCATCTTCCCATGCCCCACTTCATCTTCCCATGTCCCACTTTATCTTCCCATGTCCCACTTCATCTTCCCATGTCCCACTTCATCTTCCTTTGCCCCACTTCATCTTCCTATGTCCCACTTCATCCTCCCATGCCCCACTTCATCTTCCCATGTCCCACTTCATCTTCCCATGTCCCACTTCATCTTCCTTTGCCCCACTTCATCTTCCTATGTCCCACTTCATCCTCCCATGCCCCACTTCATCTTCCCATGTCCCACTTCATCTTCCCATGCCCCACTTCATCTTCCCATGTCCCACTTCATCTTCCCATGTCCCACTTCATCTTCCCATGCCCCACTTCATCTTCCCATGCCCCACTTCATCTTCCCATGTCCCACTTTATCTTCAATTGCCCCATGCCCCACTTCCCAATCATCTCTCCTCCCCTCCGACCATGAGAGAGTTCTGTGTCCTCTGACTGTCCAGGGACATGTGACTGTTGTGGACTGATCCTGTCCTGTGTGTTCTGGAGGAACGTGAGGACCTGCCTGTCACATTGCCCTCCTCTGCTACCAAGTTGGACGTGGAGCTCCGGATGTTGGAGCTATTACCTGTTCCATCAAAACTCAAGTTTGTCACTGGGCGAATCTCATCCTCGTGTGGTCGAAACTGTATCAGACTAGTTTTCCCCTCTCTGTGGATTCAACAAAAATCAAAATGAAATGAAATTAAATTTACACTCTGCAACTACAATGTAATGCAATTAGATGATTTGAATTATGATAACTTTTAATAGCTTAATAAGAAGTCTTTATCTTAGGAGTGAGTGGCTATATTTTAACAGTTTTTTTAGTTATAAATATAATCGTATCTATAACTGCAGGCTGTAATATGTCATGTTGCCTGAACCATACAATCCAATGATTGACACTGTAAATGTCTGTAACATGTTTGCAGGCTCAGATGCAAACTCCTCTCAGTACTGTAAATCGTGAAATTAATGCTTCTCTAAAAGAATGCGACCGCTGGCCCCTAGCCAAAATATGAATGCGACACCCCTCTCCTCTCAAGCATCAGTGGATTTGTATCTTAAGAAAATGTCCTCTGTCAGGTTTACAGGAGAATCCTCTCCGTAATCCAACCTTACATTAATCCAACCACACTCCAAATAGCACCGCTTATTAGCACTGAGTAGAGTACTTCCGCTAAAACAATACATGCTCGCTGGCTCGTGTCGCAAAGAACAAAGACACTGTGTTGCGTGGGTGGCATCTGTCTGGACTTGCAGGTGTGATGAGTGATGACATAAGTGAGTAGAACGCTTGCCTTGACCCAAGTAGTTACAAGTCACAGGATGTGTTTGAATGACATTGTTTATATACATGTTACAAGTGCTGCTCAATAAACAGTGGAATACATAGTTGCTTCTTTTTAGTGTTGACTAAGTTGGTATTTCTGCTATCCAAAATGTCTTACTGTTGATATAAATGCGATGTTTATTAATGCGAGCAAACACCAATCAATTTTTCGCATTTAATTCACGCTCGCATTAATTTCAAGACATACAGTATTTCCCTTGTTGCAGTGTTTGACATTAAGTTTGTATGGTCTTGGGATAGAATTTTACATAAAAAGAACAGAAACAGAACATACGGTAAACAACCCTAAAAGCCCCACCTTAGTTCCATCACCTTTTCGGACATACCCTTTTCGACCCACACTAAATGGCCTGGAGGGCCCATGCGAGAAATACACATATGTCGGAAAGGGCACGTTAAATTCCCAATTTAAGAGTAAGTACGTACGGTATAGCTGGCAGGCCAACCCTCCTGCAGTGTTTCCAGCCCTGCACAAAGTCAGGAGACAGACGTGTCCGCTTCGTGTAGTACTTGAGTACCTGCATCAGGTAGGGGTTCTTGCGGCATCTGGAGGAACATGACAGACACATGGATATCTCAAAATTACCAACTAGTCCTATGGGCTACAATGTCTTGCTTGACAATGGTATAAGGATCTATACCGAAATGTCGCTTTTTACAGTATTAAAGAAGTTGTTATCCATAAAATTGTGTCTACCTTGTCATCCGTCAACTTCTAAGTAATGCCTATCAAACAATTTAGACCTATGGGCTAGTGACCACTTACACACTGCCAAAAGGTTGTCAAGTGATCATTTATTGTTTGTTGTTTCACGTTGCAATCAACAATAGTCCCATTAGATGGGACCAGCCTGTAAATAATCGAGGCTGGTCTAAACAAACCTACCACTGATATTCAGTGATATTCAGCATGTTAAGTGTAGCATGAATACTAGTACATTTACAGTTTTTTACCCACTGATATCATCATACATGTATGTGTCTGTAACAGAGGTTATTAAATCATTTTTTAGCACATAATTTTATACATTAATTCTCTCTCATCTTCCCGAGGCAAGGGAGTTAACTGACTGCCGAACTAGGCTTGAGTGTGAATGAGTGAGTTGGGTTTAACGCCGCTGTTAACAGTATTCCAGTTATATCACGGCGTGTCAGCTAAATGTGGGAGGAAAGCTCGAAGTGATGCTGGTCTCAGAAGTTTACCACTTTGGTGAAACCCACGAGCACGGGTATGGTGCCGACAAACCTAGAAACATAATCGGGGCGAACCGGGATTCAAACCCACAATCATAGGTTTCTGGCATGCCCAAGGGACACGACTCTGCACAGGGAATCACGGCGCCTTAGATGACTGGGCCACCCATGCCCCTGAACTAGGCCTGAATTTCATGAGTCGATCCTAGTGCCATCAGTGGCTATTACGAGTTATGTCCCTTTTAAGTACCTCCTATTGACCAATCAGATTCCACCTCACATACCACTTGCATTTGCTTCAAATAAAATGGTGGCACCAAGTGAAGACACTCTAAACGATAATCAAGAAATATATCGTAATGATACAGGTCTTACTTCGCGAAATGCATCAAATCAGTGAGCACCATGATTAAAAACATGAAAAGATTTGGAAAATATCTGTTGACGCCCAGATGACGGTACACTTGTGCAAATCCTGCAATCGACCGAAATCTACACAGCAGCTTCCAAACGCGAAGGGGAGACACTCTAAACGATAATCAAGATATATATCATAATGATACGGGTCTTACTTCGCGAAATGCATCAAATCACAAGAGCACCTTGATGAAAAACACGAAAAGATTTGGAAATCTGTTGACGCTAAGTTCTCAGTACACATGCTAATTGCTTTGCAAATCCTGCAATCGACCGAAATCTGGACAGCAGTTTACAAACCGGATGTTGATTTCGTTACGAGACTTTGATTGGATTATGCATAGACTTCTGAGTCCATAATTCCAGTTTGGGTGGAAACTGGACTTTCATAGTCAGTCAACTCCCTTGCCTTGGGAATATGGGCAACAGTCCACAAAGTGATCTTAGTGATCTGACTTGGAGACAAACTCTCAGTTGTCTGAGATGTCTTGTTGGAAGATGTTTCTCTGTTTGAACTAGGGAATCACACTCCATGTACTGTTTGGTTTATCTGACCTGTGAAGGAGTTCCCTGCCTCCCTCGTGGTTGAAGGTGAGATAGCCAAGTGCAATGGCTGCACATCCACGCACCTGCTCAGCAGGGGATGACAGTAGGCTGCACATGTAATGCACAGCTTCTATAGCGACGATGGCTGAAGGAACACCTACAGGAACAGAAGATACAGTCTTACCAGATGCAAAATATACTTTCTTGTCTTTAGAAGACCTATTGCTTGGCCAGGAAGTACATACAAATATTATTGAAAAAGTACACCCCAATCATCTCTGTCTAATAGAATAGAACAAGAAAGTCATTGATGTACCGAACCTTTTATCATATGCTTGTTTGTTAACCCTGCACAAGGCAATATTCCAACTGTATTATGGCAACCTGTAAATAATGAGCAACATCCCACGCTTTCAGTACGCTGTCACACATTCCAACACGTAACTAATTCTGAAGATTAAATCCATTTAATTGCCTCTCACGACAAGCAAAGGTTTGGGGATGTATGTATATAAACGCGTCATAAAAGATGGTACTTGTTGTTACCCTGTCTCGTGCTCGGCATTTAGGGGCTCAAACAAGGACTGGTCAGCTCGGAGTCAGTATACTGTGTCTGAGTGGCGTATTCATGTTAAACTGCGGCATAGTAAGTCAGTGAGCTAGCACTATAAATCGGTATCAGTCCGGACTAGTACAAGCACACACACCCACACACTCGCACACACACACGCACATGCATGCACGTTGCTATATAAGTGCAATAATCTTGGACGCGATGATAAATCCTATTCCACCTAACCTTACCTTTGTTTGACTTGTCGGTTATAAGAGCACCTACCCCACATAGTGCCAGTACACATGTATTTACAGGCGACGGAGAAACGCATATTGACAAACCAGTGTTGATGATGATGACAGATGTACCTGCTCGTGTGTGTGCCAGTCTAGCGACACAGTCACTGGCCAGCGCCAGAATGCTGTTGTCCTTGGAGTCCTGGAGGAGGTCGACGATCAGCTTGATGCCCAGTGCTGAGGACTTAGCCTGCTCCTCATCCGGGATGATGCGAGCCAGGACCACGATCTGACATACAGACATTTAGAACTCAATATGCTTGTTTGTTGTCTAACATTCCTTAGCTAGACTAATATTCCAGCTGTATGACGGCAGCCTGTGAATAATCAAATCCATCAATAATCAAGTCCATATCTAAAAATATTCTTGTTTCTAATCACTTTCTTAAATTGATAGGCAGATTTCTTGGTTTACAGATTATTTATGTTAAAATGTCCCGGGGGACAAATCAAATAATACAGGGGTGGGTGTGGGAGTCTGAAGGAATCAGGGTAGGGTCACAAAAGGTATAAGAGTCTCTTGGGGATTGCCATAAAAGATAAACCACATATTGGGGGAGGGTCATGAACAATATTGACATCTCATGAAAAAATAGGGAGGGTCATCCAAAAATATGACAAGCATATGAGGAGGGTCAGTACATTGCAGGGCTCCAGATGAAGGCAGTATCAGCGTATGTACAGACGAAACTATGCACGATACGTAGGGGGATGATTTTATAAACGTATCAGATACACATCACAGCATACATGTATGGTCTAACATTTATTTAAAACATATTTCCCAAAAATTATATTCTGATTTCAAGCAGTATATTTTCTTGAGTATAGTGCACACTTTATTTTCCAAAAAACACAGCTGTATAAAAGGGGTATGCATTATACACACTATAAAGAGTTTTGATGTTTTTTCCTCCAACGCAAAGATATTACTGTCATGTAACACGGAAATACCACGTCAACACTGTCTGGTTATAAAATGTATTCATTGTATATCTTGACTGAAAACCATAGAGGGGTGCACGTTAGACATACATGTACAAAAAAAAGAAGAAAGTATTATTTATTGTTTATTGACCAGTATACACGAGACAGTGACCATGGTCTCTGCTAAAATGAAATATAACATTTATCAATAAGAGTGAGTGAGTGAGTGAGTGAGTGAGTGAGTGAGTGAGTGAGTGAGTGAGTGAGTGAGTGAGTGAGTGAGTGAGTGAGTGAGTGAGTGAGTGAGTGAGTGAGTGAGTATGGTTTTACGCAGCTTTTAGCAATATTCCAGCAATATCACGGCGGGGGACACTAGAAATGGGCTTCACACATTGTACCCATGTTGGGAATCGAACCCGGGTCTCTTTAACCACTAGGTTACCTGGCTGCCCCTTATCAATAAGATTCCAGTCAGTACTCTAAGGGTACTCTATAGTTTTGCCAGTACTTGTAAATAAAAATAATAAGGAGTACAAACTCCCGATGCTGAAAAATTATCTGGAGCCCTGCATCTGTGTACTGAAAACCTCTGACCCACACTCCTCTAAGTAACAAATGACTGGTCTCAAAGAAAGACATTTCAGATTTTACATTTTCTTCTCCTTAATGTAATCTCAATATGTTGTCTTGCGTGCAGTGTTGATTTAGTGCATCATGTTTTGTTATTCCTATGTTAAAACAGCATAAGTTTGCATTTGGCATCTTCCCGAGGCAAGGGAGTTAACTGAATATAAAAGTCCAGTTTCCCCCCTTGCCGAACTAGGCTGGAATTCCGGAGTCACATTTTGGCTGCACTAACTGAGTCTATGCATCGTCCAATCAAAATTGCATAATGAACTAGGCATCCGGTTGGTAAACAACATGGATTTCAATGTGCAAATTTTGGTTGGTTGCAGGATTTGTAAAACATGTGTACCGTCAACTGGGCAGATATTTTGCAAGGTACTCAAGAAATTTGATGCACTTCAAGGGGTAAGACCTATCTTATTACAATATAGACCTTGATTATTGATCAGATCGTCTTGACTGGGTTATGCCATCTTGTTTTAAGCAAATGCAAGTGATATGAGAGATGGAATCTGATTGGTCAATAGGAGGGACATAGAAGGGACATAACTTACAGCTACTGGTTGCACTGCATTCGGACCTGGAAATTCTAGACTAGGTGGAAACTGGACTTTTATAGTCAGTTACCTCCCTTGCCTCAGGAAGACGGCATTTGGAGGAATTTGTAAAAATAGACCTGACTAAGATGACCATACCTGATAGGCAGCATTGCATCTGTAGAACTCTTCATGAGATTTCAGGAAAGGTAGGAATGCAGCAAACCTGACCCCGCCCTGTTCCAGGATATCCTGCTGCTGGCTGATGTTGTTGTAGGCGAAGGCTGCCAGCGCCTCCCCAGCCAGGAGACGGACACGATGCTCCGTGGAGTACATCATCCGTAGGATACGCACAAAGCTGAAGTCGGGGTAGCGGTGGATCTCATCCAAGATGGCTTGGTTTCCTGCAGATGAAACGGGACATGATGTCATCTGGTGCCCACAATCTGCTGGGTTTCGTGTTTGTTGGTTTTGATTTCAGTGTATCATATCTTATTCTGACAGCTTTATACTTTGCACCAATTTGCTGCCATAGCTATATGGTAAATTTGCTCATGTGAGGCACTGTCTTCATCAGCTGATAAACGTCAACAAATACAACTTCAATCCTTATATTGACAGATACATAAATCATAACAAAACAATCCATTAAACATCAAACTTTAATTGTTTAAAGCGAACTATATCAACACGGAGAGTTGTAACGTCATCCGTCCCAAACATTCCACTTGGAGTGACATCCTTTGGTTTTACAAATGGCGGCTACGGCAATGTAATTCACTTGAAACAAAAGTTGCACCCAGTAAAGTTAGCATTAGAAGGAAATCCAGAACCAACTGAAGCTGAAAAATGGATTGATATTAACGTTCTGTGAACTTTGGGTGTGTGTTTGAGTCATACTATGGCTGCTGATAACGGGAATTACCGCTTGAGGCGGCGGGGTTGGATTTCCCGAAGCACGACAGTGTGGAGCTCAGTGAGTTCTTTTCTTAAGTCGAGCAACCTATGTTATAGCTTTCGGTGACCCGACATATACATGATCTGTCTGGCTTCAAAGCCTGCATCATTCATAGCCTGAATCGATGTCTCTCTTAGCTTTCTCAAATGATTTTTAATGTTAATTTTAGACATTGAGGAATTCCCCTTAAGTAGTTCTGTATGTCTCCTCTCGATTGACAATGTAATCATGTGACATTCTGACGTTCATCAGGAAATGAACGACAGTCAGCTTGGTAGTGTTTACCTAGGCGAGGTCACCCGCTACTGTCAATATTTTATAAGTGATGTCACAACCTTCATCTCTCTTATCACAAACAGCACAGGATTTCTCACACTCAAAAGGTTGAATCAACCAAAAAATAGTTCAAAGTTTGGCACATATCAAAATCATCAAAAATGTCAGCCACGGACAATCTCTCGATATTAAACAGCTTCTTGTAAATCCCATACACTCATCATGTGACATATGTAACTTTCAAAAGTGTTGAAGTTAAAAGTCATGAAGTACCACGTTTGAAATCCATTCAGACAAAAGAAGAGAGTACATTCATGTGTAAATTGTTTGTTTCATGCTTAACTGTCACTGTGAAATATCTCTATCAGTGCATGGTACATAATAATTTTACGCATTATTTGTTTGCTATACAATAATAATAAAGTCAGTAGAGTGAGTCCTTGAAAGACAATTGAACATGTTAAAGAGTGCTTAAAGTTTGACCATATACATATCTGCTATTCTTCATATGAAACCACCCTTTTTTATCAGCTATATGTCAACTTGTCATCATTAAAACAAGAAAAATGAGAAAAATGGAAAACATTCTATTTATAACAATGAAGAAAGCATCATTTTAACTAATTAATTTTTAAATAGTAATTTTCTTTATAACTTGTCAAACAAACATCTGCCTTTATAAAATGTTCAGTTTGTTAAAAACAGAATTTTGAAATATATAATTCTTATTCTTGCATACCAATCTAAATGTTTTAATCAAATATGTTTAAATAAAACAAAATATGAAAGCCATAATTTAAACACTTTCAAATTTGGTCAAGTACAGCAGCCTGAGATTTGGGTCAATGATATTTTGTATTTTATTTCAAATTTGTTAATATTTTTTTTAACATATGCAACTATTTTTATTCTTTTTATTGCTTTACTGAAAAACATAACATACTGAGAACTTGTTTAGTTTACCTAAAGGCAGTGCCATTTATTTTTCTGGACAAGTTTTTACTGCTTATAAGAGAAATATATTAATGATCCATTGATTGACATTATATCTTTTCAGCTTATCCCAAAATAAAGAGACAGTAGTTAGTCTCTAAGCAAATAAAACCCTACATGTATTACTCATAATTAATAAATATATGACTCTACATAAATAACCTATATAAATGCACTGACAGGTCATGAAAAAATAAATAGAAATCAATAATCAATAATCAATAGCCATGCAGAAACCTAATCCCCCGTTTGCCCTAACAATACCATCAGGCAGATAGCTGTAGCCTTCGCGTACTCATAAATGATATCTACTGAACTGAAAAAAACCTCCTCACAACAAGTTGCGATAAGCATCGCTACAAAAACACTGCCGTTCTGACTGAAAATCTCAGCCCTCGGTTTCAGTGACTTGTTCACAAATGGCATTGCCTGACTGCATTTTAGCGATGTGTTTTGTTGTCGTCTTGTAAGCATTGATCTAGTCCCAGGGGTTTGGAATTAACAAGCGGTTGTCATGTAGAAGTGTAACAGTATTGATCAGCCGAACGCTAGGTATGCTTGGCATTAGGAGACCATGCATAGGAGACCATCGACCAACAGGGGAATGTGCTGACACCAAATCCAGGAGTGTCATTATTGAGGCCAGGTCATCACTTCCGATGTGTCTGTATCGTGATGTCACACTTGATACATGGTACGAGGAGGCAGCGTGGAAACCTGTGCATTATTGATGTATATCATGCCTCATTTGACTTGATCAAGATGGGATCTGTAATGCTAGTATTTATGAGAGTTTTACATTTGTTTTTTAATATGGCCAAACAAACTATTTTTCTTTATTCTTTTTTTTAAGAGATGAGCCTGCCCTTAAATTTAACAAACATTAAAATAATAAGTTACTGATGCTGTATTTATTTTTAATACCTGCTTTTTTAACATCTTTACAGTGTATTTTTATCCATTTTTTGTTCAGAAATCCACCTATTTTAATCTTGACAAATTTGTGAGAAAGTAATTAATTATCATGATTATATACTACTCATAATTTGTTAAAGATCACCCATTTCTTTCATATTACTATAGTCAGTCTATCATGGCATGACAGATTAACTTTAATAAGTTAACCTAGTTAACCGGTTTTCTTTAACTTCTTTGGGGCGGTCGGGTAGCCTAGTGGTTAAAGCGTCCGCTCGTCACGCCTAAGACCCGGGTTCGATTCCCGACATGGGTACAATTTCTGAAGCCCATTCCTGGTGTCCCCTGCTGTGATATTGCTGGAATATTGCTAAAAGCGGCGTAAAACCAAAACTCACTCACTCACTCACTTTAACTTCTTTTGAGTAGTATTTATCATGTTGGCAGTGTCTAAAATACTCGCCTGCCCGACAGACCGAGACGGTCTATTTCGCTGACGGACGTTCAGTTTTGAAAAGTTGCACGCCCGATGGTCAGGGGTTAAAGTTACTTAGTTGACTGTCTACCAGTCTATTGATATTTTCTGAGAACTACACAGTACTATACTTATGTTTACCCTTTTTTACTTTTGTTCGTTAGCCCAGACAATTCTGACCAGCAACATTTAATCTGGTCTGGTAACTTTGCAATATTGCCAGTCCGATCGTCTGACTGAAATTTTGGAGACTTATATATTGTTTCAGCTACTGCTACAAACCAGATATATAATTCTTTTATCTGAACCTATGAGCCTCAATTTTACACCTCGCAACAATGGCATTTTAGTGGCAGACAATATTTTGTTTTTTCACCAGTCTGAAGCATAATTATGTTTTTCAAAAATTTGCGGGGACAATATATTTTTTTCAATAAAATCCCAGCCCCCAGTCCCTCCCTCTCAGAATATCAAATGATCTGTCCCTATTTGCTGAATCGGAATGGCATGGCTTAATTTAATTCACTGCTTGAGTGTGAAGAAACAGTTTGACTTGATTGTCTATGCCTAAAATATTTACCTCTTATGAGAAATTACCTTTTAAATATGCTGTTTATTTTGTAGAATTGGTTTAACAACAAAGTTTTAAAAACTATGACGTGGAAATTCAAAAAAATAAAGTAAAATTCAGAAATAAATATAAATAACAATAAAAAAATAATATTACAGCTACTTCTAGTTTGGAAAAAGGAATACCCCACAAGTGTTTAATATTGTTTATTAACTTTAAGAACAGATTAAACGAACCACAAAACTGTGGAAAATATAAAGTGGAATAGCATTTTTTTATTTGCAACCAGTGTTGATTGAGAAAGACACATGTGACTTGTGTAAACATAGCAGCGTTGTAATAAACAACCTAAAATAAACTTCCTGTATCAATTCACCTGCCTTCACCACCCATACATAATTCAGCCTGTCTTATTTAGCAATGGCTAGTATCTCAACATTTTTATATATAATTCATAAGCTTCCCAATGATACAATTTCCTTTAAATCAGCTTGCACCATCTAAATGAAGAAGATAGTCTATTCCAACGGCAAGCCTTCATTAAATCTTTCAGATCTCGAAAGATTGCGATCTCGCCTCAATGCATTGTATTCCCACTGTGGAGTTTCTGCTCAGCTCTCTTGCTTGCTTATTCATGAGGAGTAATTACTTCCAATGATCCTCAAGCACTGGGGCCAGCCAGCCATGAAACTAAAGCATGTTGATATGTATAGGTATATGGAATTCTTGTTCTCCCTTGATTATATTACTAAGAGCCGTTTATGAGGATACACTTAGGCTTAGCTGTTAATAAAAATGTGAAAACATTATTGCATTGCCATGATTCCTGCAGCATAAAGAGTTTATTAACCTCAATCTCTATAGCACTGGTCAATATACAGCTTGACTAGATACAAAGTATATAAACAATTGTATACATATTCCATTTTGGCTCATAAAAAATAGATCAAAGTCTCCTGGATCAGCTGAGATCATTCATAAGAAATGTATTTTTTTCTATTGGACACACAATATGAATAGTTTTTTTTACAGATTATCGTATAAATCACATTACTACAACTAGGAAGTATATAAACAAATAAATAGAGGTTATCACGTGAGTGTGTTTGGGGATGGTAAATATCCTGCATTAGGAATAAACATTGTATTTAGCGAGCCTTGGCGAGCTAAATACATAGTGTTTATTCCTAATACAGGATATTTACCATCCCCAAAC